GGATGCCCGAGCTGCGGAGGACCGCGACAGTCGCGTCCTCGCCCCTGGCTGACCCGTGTCTGGCCCGGGCTCGTCCGGTTCCCGGCGCGATGCGGCGTCCTCCCTTCGTGCTCCGGGCATTTTCCTGCCCGGACAGCGGCCAATGTCCGGGGTGCCCTGCGGGGGTGAGGAGGACGGGGCGAGGGTCCGGCCTTCTCAAAGTCTGTCCTGTCGTCGCGTCCTTCCCCGGCATTGGGGCAAAGGCAGCCTTCGCATGCGGACGTGTTGCTGCTGTCCTGCGTGTGTTGCATCCTGCCCACGTGGTAGTGTCCCGTCCCTCCCACCCCCTCCATTTTTGCAGTTGGTCAGGAGGACTTAGCGGGATGTTGGGGATTTTTTTCTTTTTTTCCCTTCTGCTTTACACCCGCCACCCCCCGTGATTTCTTCCGGGCAGCGTGGAAGGTGTTAAGGTCAGTTTGTTTTGCTGAGAATGACTGTTGTTTGATGGATGAATCAAGAGTTGTACTCTTACGAAATTGAGACCAGTAGGGGACATACCAGACCTTAGTTCATTGACATCTTTTCAACCCCAGTAGCTCTTGTTCTTTTCTCTGCCGCTTAATCCTCCAGAGAGCAAGTGCTTGCTACTGATGTGTTGATTTGCACGGTTTTCCTTTCTTCTGCGTTTGGTGTGTCTGTGGCCTAGTGTTTTCTAGTCTGTGTTGATGCAGTGCTCTGATTGTTGCTAGATTCCCGAATGAGTCTTGTCAGGGAGCTCGAGTTTGGTGGGCTTCTTTTAGCCTTTCACTGCCTGTCTTTCTGTCTGTCTTTCTGTCTGTCTGTCTGTCTTTCTTTCTTTCTTTCTTTCTTTCTTTCTTTCTTTCTTTCTTTCTTTCTTTCTTTCTTTCTTTCTTTCTTCTTGTGTTTTGTTCCCCAGTGAGAAAGCATTCGTGTTCTATTGGTGGTTAGTTACATACATAGCTTTTCTTTGGCAGATGGACTAGGTAGTTCGACTGTTATGAAAGTTCTTTTAGTCCACTTTTCTAAAGTGCACTAGGTACTGTTGGACTTTTTTTTTTAACACTGGTTTTGAAGCACGTGGGCTTTTTAAAATTTGTTTTGTTTTATTTTCCCTTTAATATTTCTCCCAGGTTAAGGTTCCCATCTTGGCTGTGTTTTGCTCTTTGGAGATCACAGATTGTTTTCTTTCCAGTAGTAGTGACAGATGCTTTTTATTCCTTTTAAACCATGGCACGTATTTATGGAGAGAACGATAACTGCTCCCCCTCTTTTTTTCAGGCCAAGTGATCCCCAACTTTATGTTAGGAAGGGGTGTAGATGTGATTTTTTTTTTTTTTTTTTTTTTTTGAGACAGGGTTTTTCTGTGGCTTTTGGAGGCTGTCCTGGAACTAGCTCTTGTAGACCAGGCTGGTCTCTAACTCACAGAGATCCGCCTGCCTCTGCCTCCCTAGTGCTGGGATTAAAGGCGTATGCTACCGCTGCCCGGCTGTAGATGTGATTTAATTTTTAAGTTTTTAGATGAGCTTGGAGGTTGCTCTTTCCTGTTTTGTTTTGTTTGGAATTGAGGTGAATCTTGTTCTGTGCTGTTGGGGAGTTTCTCATGCTTTTATTAGATATTTTGTGGACGAGGTCAAGAATGTTTATTTTGGCTTTCAGTTTATTAGTTTGGGTAAAATAAAACTTAACTTTTGAAGTTACTCTTGTGAAAATTTCCACTTTCTCTTATTTTTCACACTGAAGCTTTTCCTTTTTTATTTTAGACAGTCTTTTGTAGACCAAGCTGTCTTCTAACTCATTGTGGTGAGGGCTGGCCTTGAACTCTTGATGTGCCATCACCTCCCAAGTACTGGAATTACAGGCCTGTGTCCAACTATAACTGGCTACATTGTAGTCTTTTGATACTGCCTTTTCCCATTTTATCTAATAAAAATGTCAGCGTATTCTTCCTTTTCCTTCTATGTAGAATAAAGGTATTTAAATACAGATTTTGCTTTCATTATGCTATGGGTGGGGCTGTGAAATAGAACGTTGTTCTGATATATTCTGAGGCACATTTTTATAGTAAGGCAGAAGCATTTGTATACTTGTGTAAAGTACCATGCTGTGAAGTAAGATATATAAAGTGACACAAGAACTAAAATAATGGGTGTCTGAAAGCAACTTGTGTTGAAAAAAGGAGTGGAAGTTGCCTACTTTGGAGAAGCAGCTTTGTACATGGGTCATATGGACTAAATAGCCTTTACATTTGAAATAATGCAACCAAGTAAGTGGTGTGAAAAAAGAATTTCCAGTGGTGAAGAGGCTCGTTCAGGTGATTAAAAGGACTTGTAAAGGTGCAAAAGTGGCTGGTTACATGGGATATCCATTAGCTTGACTGTCACAGAGCATTGCATTGGTGAATAAATATGTGTATTTACAAGATTGGCTAGGGTACATTGGTTGAGGATCATCAAGGATAGAGGATTTGGTTTGGTAGGATATCAGTGCTTTCTCAAGACAGTAAAATGATGTATATTGTATCTAAGGAAGGTTTCTCTGTCAGCTGAGTGTGTAGGAAATGGGGAAACTGACTAGAATGTTCTTGGAGAGTTTTAGGAATAAGATGATGGTCTGATACAAGGAACTGGTTGTGAAAGTAAATAATATTTATTGAATGCTTACAGTATTCCTGGAATTATTGTAAGCACTTTACATATATTTAATTTATTAAGGCTTCATCTTAAGTCTTGTAATCATGAAGTGACACAGGGCAGGGTCCTAACCATATACTTTTATTTCTTCATCATTTATGGTGAGCAATCAGGTGAGATACAGATTTGCAGTGATGGGCCTGTAAGTGGTAGGAAAGCACTTGAGTTGATATTTGTCAGGAGGGAAATAGTGCAGTGGGGGAACCCTGAGGAATTTGGGGTTTTACAGTAGGCTAATAGGAAAATGAAGCATTCTGAGACGAACCAGGAAGTAGGTTCTGCCACAGAAGCCAAGAATAGGAAGATTTTTCTACAAGGTAGGATTGTTGACATAAAGTTTAATGCAAAGACGATTGAACTAGACCAGAAGGAGTTTTGAAAGGAAGGTATTTCAGATAGTGGAAACACCACTATCTGAAGGTATTTCAGACTGATAAATTGCTTTCACAGGATCTATAGAGATTTTATGCTGATATGGTAATATTTAATATTTTCTACTAAAGTTTCCTCTGGTATTATTGTTGATCATATCAGAGTTACTGGTTGTCAAAAAATGAGTTTGTCTTCAGAAAGGAAACTAGTGTTCTAAAGTGGTTTAATCCCTCCATTGGAAGGCAGAGGCAGGAAGATCTTTGAATTGGAGAACAGCCTGGTCTACAGAGCAAGTTTGAGGACAAGCCGGGGCTACACAGAGAAACCCTGTCTTGAAAACAAACAACCAAAACACACACACACACACACACACACACACAAAGGGAAAGAAACTAGTATTATTATTTTTGTTTTTGTTTTTTCAAGACAGGGTTTCTCTGTGTAGCTTTGTAGGCTGACCTGGAATTTACAGAGATCCACCTGCTTCTGCCTCCCGAGTGTTGGGATTAAAGATGTGCGCCACCACCAACTGGTTGAAACTAGTATTCTAAAGGTAGTTACTTCTTTTTTGTTTGTTGTTTCTTTCCCTCCCCTCTTTCTCTCTTCTTCTCCCCCACCTCCCACCCCCATAGGGTTTCTCTATGTAGTCATGATTGTTCTAAAACCCTCAGTGTAGGCCAGGCTGGCTTCAAAGTCAGAGATCCTCTTGCCTCAACCTCCCTAGTGCAGGGATTAAAGGTATGCACTGTCATGCACCAAAGGGTCACACTGTTTCACATCGACAGTCTTTTGTGTCCAACCTCTTTCTAATTTTAAGGGTTGTTGATGTAGTATGTTAGTATTTCAGTTTCTTTTATTGCCAGATAGTCTACAGGATGGATGTAGTATATTTTTATCCATTCTTAACTCGTTTAAACCCTTCATCATTGGCCTCTAATCTTCACTCTGTCAGCTCCACTTATGGCTTAATTTTTAGTTTATAAATTCTACTGTGCTCTAGTAGGCATCAGTGATCTAAAGGTGAATATGCCATGGTTGGTCCTTGAACATGTGTAGCGCTTTCATGGTGTATGTGTGTTTTCTCATACGTTATCTCATTTGATCACACAGCAAACCTGCAGTGTAGGAAAACATCTTTAGGATGAACTGTCATGTTAGGTGACTTGCCCGGGATTGCACTTGAAGTGTTGGATCAGATGTCATCTTTATTATTATCATCATCATCGTCATTATTTGGCCATTTCTACTATTCTTGCTACTTAAAGGATCACTGTGTAAATTTCTGGAGAGTCAAGGGGTCTAGGAAATCTACATCACATGGGAAAATCACTTCAATTTTCTTTTTGGGTCCCCCGTTTGCAAAAAAAAAAAATTTCTGTGTGGGCTTGAACTTGCAGCAATTTTCTGCCTCTCCCTCATTAGTGTTGGGATATAGTATAGGTATGAGCCACTACATCCAACCTGGGAATTACTGAATTTTCATGATGACTCTTTGAGACCCAGAGTGAAGATTTAGCAGAATTTTGTTGCTTGTTTGCTGTTTAGACAAGTGATTTTATATTTCTGCCCTTTGTCTTAGAGTCTTAGGACTTTTAATGTGATAGTAGTAACTAAACTAACATTTTGAGATCTTATTTTAGCAAAGAAATGTTGAGAATATAGTCATTATATGATCCTTACAACAATCCCTAAGTGGAATATTTTTTTCTCAGATTTTCACAGATGAGGAAATGAACATTGAAAGGTGAAATAACTTGCCTAAGGGCACATAGCTAGGAATGGAAAGAACCAAGTTTTGAAGCTTCACAGTCTAACTTCAGAACTCTGAGTTAATCACTGTGCAGTTTTGCTTATTGATTATGAATTAACATTTCAAGGAAGAACATGAACAGAATATGAAGATTGGATTTTGAATGTAGTTGAAGCAGTGAAAGTGACTTGACATTGCATGAACATTTCTTTTAATGTTTTTATTTTAGATAGACATTTAGACGGCAGTGTGTTTTGTTTGTTCTAACAGCTTCTCAGATAAAAACTACATACTTAGAGTGCTCTTCACTGTTGCTGTTTTCTGTCCTGTAGCTTCCCTCACTGATGCTATTCAGAAACTTTGGCTTGAGGGCCAAAGCTTATTTGTCCCTCTGTCTGCAGTCTTCTCTTAACTCAGATTTTGTTTCCATTTTGAACAGTTAGCTTCTCAGTCCCAGAGGGAGGCACTCTACCTCTTTCTTCTCAAAACTCAGGAAAATATCATAATGGCATTTCATAGCAACATTCAAAATTTGACCATCTTAATCGGCATAACTGTATTTTAGTGTACAAAAAAGAACCAAAGTACAGTGTTTTGGCTAAAGAAATTGACTTACACTGAAATTGGGAAGGCATCT